TCTCTCTCCCTCTCTCTCTCTCTCTCTCTCTCTCTCTCTCTCTCTCTCTCTCGCTCTTACACTCTCCGCCTCCTTTCTCCCCTCTCGCTGGTTTATATTGTTTGTTTATTTTGCTTGCTTTCTCGCAGCCGTTGTTGCTTCTTATGTCTCATGTCTCCCGCTCTCATTCTCTCACTCTCTCCACACACAGATATATATTCAGACAGACGCCCGTACATGCATGCACGCACGCACTCACGCACGCACGCGCCCACACACCAGGACCCACACTGACTGTAAAGTGACGTAAATACCCACAGAAGTGATATGTAATGCGATCGACGAACGAGCAATAAATTGGCAAGGTGGTTAATTGCGAATGGTAAAGCTAGTACTGTAGTTATACTTCGAGTAGGTAAGTACGTAGGTACACTCAGTATCGAGAAAAATATGAATGCAAGCAGAATGTCAAGGTTAGAATCTTTGATATTCGGCGCATGCGTCCGTGCTCGTTCATTGAGATGGTGTATCGGCGCTCTATCACCAGACGCTGATTGCCGAGGGAGGAGGAACAGTCTTCCGTGATTAGACTTAGCAGACGCTCCTACCACCCTGGATCGTGGGGCAGGAAAAAACAGCAGATTTTTTTTGAGTGCCCGACTGGCTCCTGTTTCACTCTATTCGGATTTAGGCATTGCGACCTTGCTGTTTGTGACCTCGAGCATGTGGGCGCGCGCTCGTCCTTCTATAAAAACTGATACACATGACACGAACCCTACTTGAAACGTGCGAGCTTTTAGTCACACGTCGTGCACTCGCAGCACGGATGAAAATAGCAACGCAAAATATGCCTAACAGCATCGTGCAGTTCAGTTCCCTGTAATGTACCGGGAAATATCGGTTCCCCCGCCACACGTTCTTCTCTATCGGTCTGCGTATTGCTGGCGGTAGCAACTGTGGTTGGCGAGCGCAAATCCATGCGACAAGTCTCGTGATAGCAAATCCGCAGCTGATGCCGGGTCACGTTCACAGTGTTCACACCGCGGCATATACGGCGGCTGGCTGCAGAGCCGCCACTCGTGGCGTGGTAATATTGGCGTGGTGGCGTGGTAATAATTGGCGTGGTAATATTGGCGTGATAATATATGGCGTGGTGGCGTGGTAATATTCAAGAGCTCTTTAGCTCAATTAGCTCTTGGTTATATATCTATCTGAATGTACTTCGTTACGCCTAAATGCGTCCCTCACCGTGAGCCCGATAGAATTTAAATGACCGTTGCCCACGCGCGTCACATACATTTCAGCGACATCTATGCCGGTGACATAGATGTGTGCAGCAAACGTACATACCGGCATACGTGACTCAGCAATATAACCCCATATCTAGGGAGGCGGTCACTGGAATCTGGAATCCGGGTCACCTCTGCCGGGTCTCCCAAGGACGCATTTGTCGCCGCGTTCGGGATACGGGAAAGATGCATTGGGTATATAGGGGTGGCGGGGAGATGTGCCCATCTGTGTCAATGTGCCCCGTTGCGCTGTGTGGGCGTGAAACTGCGACGCTACGAACCTAACGGGTATGTGATGCTCGTCGGATGATGGTCAATTAGCAGAAGAAGCTCTCCGGGTCAGCAGTGACGTCATCGGATAATATCAAGAGCTAATGAATACCTATTAGCTCTTGATAATATCAGGAGTAAGATAATATAGGATCTATATATCTTACTCCTGATAACATGCGTATGCGTAGCGCCCTTGTTTGGCCTCCTGTACTTCGCTCCATCGCCGTTTTTGGATCGATCCTTGGCAAGTCTGTCTTTCTCAATCGGCATCGCGGGTGGCGGGTGACTGGGTGAGGGGAACTGGCGTAGACGGAGATAATACGCGATTATCTACGTCTACGCCTATAGGGGAACTGCTGTCGTCTAGGGAATGAACGCCTAATTCTAGGTCAGCAACAGGAAGACAGCAAGCAGCTCGATAGCGGGTCAAGACATTATCGTGTACAACTATTATATAGTGCCATGTACAAACATAGGTATTACATTGTGTTACACGCAGACGCACGCACGCGCACGCATTCCACCTCCACACACAGACACAGTAAGGAAGGCGACAGAGAGAGAGGAGAGAGAAAGAGAGGAAGAGAGAGAGAGAGAGAGAGAGAGAGAGAGAGAGAGAGAGAGAGAGAGAGAGAGAGAGAGAGAGAGAGAGAGAGAGAGAGAGAGAGAGAGAGAGAGAGAGAAAGGCGCGCATGCGCCCGTCAACAAACTGAAAGAGTTGCCAGGGAAAAATATACCTTTGAATAGCGCATGGGGAGAGGGATTAACTGGATGTCCTTCGACACGTGTTGTCTGCAGGCACTGCTCTGTGGTCTGTGGTTTAGTGTAGGGGTCCAGATAATCTAGAAAGGGAGTCCGCTGATGGTGGCGTGTAGAGGAGAGGTTTGGGACCTCTCCATTCGTCATCTTTGTAGAACTATGGTTGCAATCCGATAGATAATGACAATAAATATTCTAGCTTGACTTGCTTGATTATATTTCTGACTATAATTTATATACTATATCAAGAGCGTATAAAGAAGGCCTTCTTTATACGCTCTTGACTATATGCTACGTATATATCTCTACTTATAATGGCACAGGTTTTTAGCACATGGCAAAATCATGTCGGCAGTCACAAAGAGGTAATTATAAGTTGAGTGGGGGTAGGGATCCTAATCCCCTGAACCCGCTCCTGCAAGTGTGTTTCCGACTGGGACGAGAGCTAGGATTTGCTAGCGCTTAGATTAGCGCTTAGCGCTTAGCGATTAGCACTTAGCGCTTAGTGATTCCACTTCATCAGCAATAGATCACGACGAGTGGGCGTGCATCATGAAGGTCACACATCTCACTATACTATTATACCCCCCATGTTTTTAAAGTGGGCTCGGAACATCCATCATTGATTGTCATTGCTCCAGACGCATTCTAAATATATATATATATTATATATCTTCTCGAATCCACTTTTAACTCATGCCTTAGGAATGCAAAAGGAGGTTGAACCATTCCCATTCGAGACCAATATATAACCGGCTGTTACGACGGTGTGAATCGAGCCTCTATCAGGATCGTAAAGTATGTACGCTTGGTGCAGCCAGCATGCGTCGTTGTAAGGCGTAGGTACTGCAGTCATGGGGCTTGGTGTTCGGCGTTTAACATCGTAACTGCCATCAGCTGACGGCGCCGTGAATAGTATCAGGATAGTATGTATAGTTCACAAGAGCCCCGAGTATTTACGGCCGCGTAGTTACGTGTCAGACATCGCCTGATGGCGTAAAAATGGAAACTCGCTCGTTCATTGGACGGCGGCTCTCTGAATGAAGAAGACTAGCGCCAAGAGCGGAGTAGAGATCCCGAGAGCATCCAAAGACCTCGTACGACTGTCCTGCCTAGCTTGCCTGCCTTATAAGTCGGCTGGTCTTAGCTCGCCTTACTGCTACCTACACCAGTGCACTCCGTTGTCGGACATACACTGATGCGGACATTCAGTGTAAAAATGGTGCTAGACGAAAATATGCACGGCGCTAATAGGTCAAAAAAACGTAGATGGCTTCACAAGTCCGCACGTGCACACACGTACGAACGAACGTCCACACACGTGCACACACGTACGAACGAACGCCCACACACGTACGAACGAACGCCCACACACGTACACACACGTACGAACGAACGTACGCCCACACACGTGCACACACTCGTGTCTATATATGTAGTATGGCAATGTGGTATAATGTGTTCACGCGTGGGTGCGTGCGTGAGATGTGTGGCTCGTCCATGATTGTACCATGCAGACGCCTTCGTAATGCACGCAGTTCATGATGATTAGCATTTCAAGGTTAACGGCGAGCAGTGCTATCGACCTTGCACTTTAAAGCCCGGAAAAACCAAATTACGTGACGTTAAGTTTAGAACGGAAGCGTGAAAGCAATATATTTCAACAGATTGCAACACGCTCGTTGACACGTAGACAGATTGTTAGAGATGCCTTTGATAGCAGCCCCATCATGCCGAGAAAATGGGGGTGCCCGGGCAGGACTGACAAATTTCTATATATTCCACTATCCAAAAGTCTTGCATTAAATGTGTATACACTTACTACACAATTATCGTATTAACCGCATTAGTATTTCTTCTTTTCTGCTTTATTCTCAGACATGAACGTATACATTTTGGTCGCAAAAGTTTCCAGGCAACGACGGGGATTTTATAGTAGATTAAATAAAAGTCTAAGATAAGGACTGGCTGGGGTGTTAGATTTGAAACTCCAAGACATAGGTGAAATAATAACAAAGAACGGTATACAATTCCCTACTGACTCGTACCAACAAAGTGGCATTTCATGTATTATTATTGACATTGTGTAGGCTAGGATACTATAAGTATTCTGTGGGTTTCACATTTATACTGGGTTGAAATGTGATGGCAGTAGTATCCCATGCCATCATATCTGAGTGAAGGTAGTTTCACGAGTTATCCAATGCGTGATGAGAAAGCTATACTATGGTATTAACCGGGAATGAGTATTGTGGGAGTGCAGGAAAAAAAAATTGGGAGTGCAATTCTTTTGTGTGTCTCAGTCAAGACTGCCGTAGGCGCGTTTCGTGAACGCCGTCGGCGTTCACGGGGGGGGGGGAACATTGAGAGGTGTACGGGGAGCCTCCACCGGAACATTTTTTAATTTTTTTAATTTTTTAATTTTTTAATTTTTTTGGCCGTGCAGTTTCAAAACTGACCGTGCAAATCACGGCTGCACGGCTCGCTGGCGAATACGTTGTCATTGCTAGCTATCACCAGGTGAATTATCACACCTGGATGGTAAAATCACCTGGCCAATCACCAGTTGTGCCCGCGCGCGCGCGTGTGTGTGTGTGTGTGTGCGTGCGCGCGCGCGTGCGTGTGTGTGTGTGTGCGTGCTTGCGTGCGTGTGTGGGTAGAGTAAGTGTGGATGGAATAACTAAGTGCACGTGTAACCAGGTGTGCTGCTTTCTCTGCAGGTGGTCAGCCAAGGTCTAGCGACTCGTCGACAGCCTTCGTCACCCTAGTCACAAACGATGCATATGGAGTAGGTGCTCTGGTGCTGGGTCACTCGCTACGCTTCACGCAGTCACGTCAGAGAGTAGTTCTTGTCACTGACGGCGTTTCCGGAGAAATGAGGTAGGCTTTACTACCACACTACACACGCAAATCGGTGGGGCGCATATATATATATATATATCAAGGGTTAATAATGTCAAATGTCATTTTTAACCCATTATTAACCTATTAACCATTATTAATGACATTTTGTGATTATTAACCCCTGATATAAATAAATAAATAAATAAATAAATAAATATATATATATATGTATTATTATTATTATTATTATATATAATATAGTATTTAGGTAGGATCTATTCAGGATTGCGAGGAGAATGAGGTGGTGATTAAGGAGGGTGTGAATAATATAGAGAGGGCAGAGAGAAGGAGCTGCCGGAGAATTAGGAGGTGAATGTCATGGAGCGTCGGACGTTGTGAATGTATAGTGAATGGGTAGGAAGTACCCATAATTTATATATATATAATATATCAGTAAATATCTGAAGGCTAGTACAGTGATCCAACCTCGAGTGTGCCAACTGCAGTTTTTAGTATTCGCAGAAAATGTATTGTGTGCTAAATATATACCGACTGCCCAACTCAGCTATCAGTATCCACTGTTCGTGAAAGAAAAAAATTATACCCTTTCTTACCGTACCGTCTTAAGTGGTAAGACATTCTCTCAATGCAACTAATAAGGGACCATCCACTCAACTTTTCGAAAACGTAACTCACACTGTTACTCACTGTCACTGTTACTCACTGTTGTCACTGTTACACACTGTTACTCACTGTTACGGTGTCTCACTGTTAGAGAGACATTTCGTTCATAAAAGAAGAAAATTAGTGAGTATAAGTAAAGAAGATCTATTTCACAGATAGAAATCTATGTAAGGTAAATAAGAGTTAGTTTAGTTATCCTGTTTGGTCAGAGATATAAAATTGCGTCCATGTAGGTCAGTGTAATATAGGTTCAGTACGTACGATGTTTATCAAGCAGCTTTCCCCGCTATATATGGTACGACAACAAACCATTTGATTACAACACCTGCAATCAGTGAGGTGTATGTATGCCTACTTTGCTAGAGTACGCACGTACTTCGTAAGCTAGACTGTAGAGCGATGGAATATGCTCTACCTTTAATCTTGGTGGTGGTGCAGTGTCCACCACGAGAGTGAGCTTATTATTTATTGCTTATGCTGGTTATATGCACTATGTAATCTGGCTATGTCCATTATGTTGGAGCCGCTAAACCATATCGGTTTGGTCGACATTGATTCCCATTCAGAATTCTCCCATTAAAATCAGGTCTCCATCAAATGCATTGCACGTAATATTGCCTGGGCTAACGCATGCTAGCACTGGTATGCAGTATATTAGTGTTCTGAGCCAGGCTCACAATGATCAATCATACATAGAATCAAAGAATTTTACACGAATCAAAGATGTCCACGCCCTGCAAGACCCCCAGCAGCCTTATTTTCACAAGCCGATGTCGCTTGAAATAGTTAGTATTAGTCGTTTCTGACGTCGTATGAAGTATGAAAGTACAGTTGTGCTTTTGGTAACTTTGTATGGTTAAATAGCTGTATTGTATTTTCCATTTTGAAGCTCCGTTCGATACAAACGAAACAGTTAAACCACATATGAATATATAATCATTTTATATATGTACTAGCTATTACCCGTCCTCCAGACGGGTTTGAATGCATGGGGTCTGATTTGAGGATGGCGGTTTAACCATTTATCTCTCACTTTTAGTTGAGGATGTATTTACAGTAAATACTGATATGTAGACTTGAGTCATCTATCATTATTTGTTTAAGGATACTCTCAAGGTTTTAGGAAATTTTTTTCTCATACCGATTTTTCATTTTCAACTTTATTCGATGACTAACACTATGTNTAAAAGAAAAAGGATGAGACGAAAAAGGACGGAAATGACCAATTGATTGTTCAATTGAACAGTCGTTTTAATCAATTCAGCGTTCATTGAGCATTAAATAACGATGTGCCAAATTGAATCGCCATTGACAAATCAAAGGCAACGAATACTGAGATAGGCGTATTGAATCATGAATGGAGCAATTTGCCGAGGCTCGTCAATCGTCCAAAATCAAACGTAATACGGCTACTGGCACATGCGCAACAGAGGCATGACGGAGTGGCGCGTAGCGCCTGACGTTTGGGCTAGGAACGGCAGCATGTCGGTAATTCCCGCGTTTCGCAGGTCCTAAATGCGGGTGTAAACCCGCGTGTGACTGCGTGTACCCGCGTGTACGTGTCGATGTACCCGCGGGTGCACTCGCCGGGTACCCCCGCGGTACGTAGCGTGTACCCGCGTGTAACGTGCGTGTACGGCCCAGCGTGTACTGTGCGTGTACCGTGCGTGTACGTGCGGTGAATGTATCGTTGCGTGTACACGGGTTAACCATGGTGTACGTACGTGTATCCTGTGGTGTACGTGCGCGTGTAGCGTGGCGTGTACCCGCGTGATGACTGCGTTACGGCCGGTGGTAGGTGCGTGTAGTCCGCGTGTACGTGGCAGTGTACCGTGCGTGAACTCCGCGTGTATTCTGCGTGTAGCCCGGGTACGGTGCCGTGTACCCGCGTGCACGGTACACGCGGTACACGGAGATACACTGTCACTGTACCACCAGATTACACGCACGTAACGCACGTCCACGGCAGATACACGCACGTAGCACAGCGGGTACACGGAGATACAGCGGCAGGGCACGCGGGTATCACGCAGCCGTGCACGCGGTAACGGTCCACGTACAGCGCCCGCGGGTAACGGTCGCGGAGTACGTACACGCCGTACACGCGGTACAATCGAAGCGTGCGTGACGACGCGGGTACACGCACGTGCACGCAGCGTGCACGCGGTTACACGCACGTACACGGGCGGGTAACACGCGGACGTGCACGACGCAGGTACAGATAACGCACAAAATACACCTGTACAACTGCGCAGATAAACACGATGGATGAAGCAAAGCACGTAACACGCTGGTACCATCGACGGGAAGGGGCAGTTGCCATGAGTATCAGAAACACGCACGGTGCAGCGCACGTGCACGCGGGTACACGCAACCGTCACGCGTGCACACGCGAGGGGTACACGCACGTACACGCGGTGACACGCGAGCGGTACACGCGGATACACGCACGTACACAGCGCACGTAAACGCGGGGTGCGCGGGTCCACGCTCGTACCGTCCGCTTCCGTTTCCTTTCTCCCATTTCCTATTAGAACTTTTAAAATAGGAAACGGATCACGAAACCATGTTCGCGCATTTCCGTATTTACGACTTTAAACTAGGAAACGGATCAGAGAACCCATTTCCCGATTTCCTATTTATACCTTTTAAAATTAGGCAACGGATCAGAAACCCGATTTCCCTACCTTGTTCCTATTTGTCATTTTTTTTGCAACGTCAAATGGGAAAACAAACTAACGGTATGTACCGTGATTTAGTAATCTCAATCTAGTATATCGTAGCAGGTGTGCGTCCGAGATTCAAAAATTCCCGTGAAACCCGGCCACAACGGAGCTCTAACAAGTTTTCATTTCAATGACCTACTTTATCACACGCACTGTCTAAAAATAGGTGTTGGTATAGACTTTTGGTGTTGGTGTTGGTATAGGACATGGTAAAACCATTATAGCTTTTCACTTCGCTGCGCTGGCTGCGCCGCTTTCAGCTACTTGGCTTTCAGCTTAACTGTGTAAAGCATGCTGATGAATGAGCAAGTGAATCGTCTAGACTCCAGACGGACACACAGCAAACAACGCAGGCCTGCTATGCGCTCGCGATGCCCCGACCTTCTGCGCGTATTTGAACGCAATTAACTTACATCTTGAACGTATTTGGGCTTTAAAGGTCATAGAGTGATTTCGGTTTTAAAAGTCATGGAGTGATATCGGCTTGAAAAGTCATGGATTGATTTGGGCTTTAAAAGTCATGGAGTGATTTGCGCTTTAAAAGTCATGGAGTGATAATTGGGATTTAAAAGTCATGGAGTGATAATTGGGCTTCAAAAGTCATGGAGTGATTTGAGCTTGAAAAGTCATCAGAGGTGTATAATTATTATTGACTATTATTATACACTCCTGATATTATGATATAATATATAGTATCACGAATTATTTTTCAGTGCTGTCGATCGAAAAACAAATAAATTTACGACTAATTAATGTGAACACTCACCTACCTACCTCATCACCTACTACCTAGAGCTTACCTATTTCATGTGGTTTGTTGGCTTAGTTACATCCCAAGGATATGGGATGCTAGTGCGCGTCGTAAGACGATATTAATTTATAGTAAGGTGCGCTGACGGTGTTTCACCGGAGGCATTACTGGAAGCCACCTTCAGCGGGGAACAGATCGATTTATGTCAGTCAAGAGTCTTTGATGTCAGATTTTATGTCAGTTTAATTGGCAGCTGCGTTACGGTGATATTGAGAAGGCGCTACCGTAACGATACAGCGCCGTAACGATACAGCGCCGTAACGATACAGCGTCGTAACGATACAGCGCCGTAACGATACAGCGACGTAACGATACAGCGCCGTAACGATACATGCCGTATACGTGGTGAGAGCAGTAAACGTGAAAAGACGTTGAAAGTATAGTTTGGAAAAGGTTTGTTCGTTATGACACATATAACCGATCGAAAAAGAAATGAAAGTGAAGATAGACATCCCACCCCAACCGCTTCCCTTCCGCTCTCCGTCCCCTCTTGCTTTCTGCCTCCCTTATTCGCTCCCTCTACCTCTCCCACCCACTCCCTCTCTTTCCTCCCTTTCTCTCTCACTCACTCTTGTTCTCTACCCCCTCTCAAGCTATGCTTGGACTGCGCATGCGGATTTTGCGATCTTAAAAGTTGGTGCGGGTTTCCGATGAATGCCGAAGTTTCTTCGGGCACATAACTTTTTAGAAAATTGCTTCCAAAAGTCTTTACGATCGAAAAATCGCGTTCTAACGTAGCGGAACGCTAAAAAAAATTGCAACGCCCAGAAGGGACCCCAGCTCCATTCGCGCGAGCACACGCGGCACGGTTTCGG